ATCAAGGAGTCCGCCCCCCCGAGCTGCCGCAGGTCAAATGGCTGCCGGACACGGCCCCAGTCAGGGTACTGGGAATCATGCTGACAGCACTAGGTAAACCAGCAACAAATGACGAATGGATCCTAAAGCCTTCCCTAGAAAAAATGGCACATTGGAAGGGTCGTCATACCTCTCTCATTGGCAGGGCATTGGCAATCAACAGTATGGTACTGGTGCCACTCTGGTATAAATCTGCAATCTGGGCACTCAGCAAGGAGGCCATTCGGTCACTCAAGCGCCAGGTGACAGCCCTGCTATGGAGAGGAGATGGAGAACTTTAAAATGTTGTTAGCAGGGTAGCAAGGACTTCAGTAATACAACCTAAAGAAAAAGGGGGTCTGGGGATCCTGGACCCTGACACCCAGTTCAAGGCGCTAACAATCCAATGGATCCGGAGACTGCTATTTACACAAAACCTCACATGGAAAGCCCTAGCTTTGGAACAAATAGCTAGGCTCGCCCCACAGGCTCCGCGGGGAGTCAGTCCACTAACCTGGCTGGATGACCTCTACTGGACAATACCGCGATCCCGACGAATCGGCCAAGTGCCAGACCGAGGTACAACCCGCTCGGATCTGGCCAGGGATGACTTCTGGACCAGAGTTCTGCACGCTTGGCGCCAACTCCCGTTGCCCGATAAACCCCCTCCGACCAGATGGGAAGAGGTGGCACGCCAACCCCTTTTGGAAATAGGCGGATAACAGACCGGAACAGCCGTGTGTACTGTAGTTCAAGCACCCCATGGAACAGCTGGGTAAAAAAAGGTATAATCAGAGTTCAAGATCTGTGGGACACACAAGTGGGAGACTGGAAGACTGCACAACAGCTCAGGACCACACTTAAGTATTGTCACAAAGTGGAGGAACACTTTGAAACTTTGATTTTTGCCATACCTCTGGATTGGGTCCGAATCCTGCGCAAAGGACCGCGGTTGGCAGAAGGGGACTGGGTAGCAGCCCCGGGCGATCCGGAGAGTGTAGGTCATGTGATAGAGGTACGTGCAGAAGAAACCCTGGCTGCCCTTTTCCACATTGGCAAGAACAGCGTGCTCACCAGGTACACCCCGGAGGTGATAAGATGCTGGAGGAACTCTGACCTGCACAGGATCCGTGTGATACAAGACAAAGAACTGTGGATCGCATACAGCCCCGTGGCTGAGCTCCCAATGGACCCCAAGGAGTGGCAGTGGTCCCCCCAGCACAAACGCAGAAACGGGGAGAACAAGAAGCTGCACACCCTAACGGTGAAAGCTACCTATCGGCTGCTGCGACCGAAAGTGAACATAAAGGAAAAGGTGAAACATCGATGGAGGTCCCACCTGAATCTGGGAACTGAAGAAATCCGGCCCATCAGATGGTTCTCCACCACCAAGTCCAAGCCGGCGAAGATGGCCTCACTACAATGGCAGATCGAACACCGATGCCTGCCCACCAACGACTGGTTAATTGACCGCACTTATTTAGAACAGAAGGGACAGGCGCTACCATGGTGTAAATCGTGCCACACGGCCTTTCCCTCCCGCAAAATCCCGGAAACCATTGAGCATATCTTTATGCAATGCCCGGGAGCGGTGCTGACATGGCGGTGGTGGGATAGGATCTGGACACGGCTTTCCACACGCTCCAGCTGGCCATGGGATTGGAGAGCCATTTTGTGTGAATCATGGACCTCCCCCACGGACAGCACCTTTGCAAATAATATGTTCAAGTTGGGGAGGAGAGTTGTCATGTGCGCCCTCTGGAGAAAACGATGTACCCTTGCAATAAAGGGGTTCCGCATAGTTGGAGAAGAAGTAACAAATACGATAAAACAGTTCATCCAACAAGAACTCAAGGCGCAATGGCAAAAAATAAAAAACAAACTGGATCTGTTTCAGACAGCCGAAGATATAAAAAAAGCAATTTAGCAATTCTCTGGGGACTGGTTGGGCGGTGAGGACGGTGGCTGGATTGCAGCGGTTCGCTGGGACAGCCACCCGAGCAGGAACACCACCAGGATGAGCTTAGGAGAGATTATTCTATCCACTTCAGAGATTGGACCATGGTGGGATAGGAGTTCCCACTGCGACCACCCAATGATTTCCCGGACCCTTTCCCGCCCCACCAGCTGGCAATGGTTGACATGCAATGGCATGGAGCAGAGCGAGCAGTGCGGGAACAGAAGGCCTTTTTTCAAAGAAAAAGTTTTGCTCTTCAGAACTCAGAAGTGGGGGGAGCCAAGGAGAGAAAGTAGATATCCGGCGCCAAGTGTAGGGTGAAGAGCCCCCCCCCCTCCCAACCTCCTGCTCAGTCAATCCCCTGGATCCCAGGGTAATCAATGCTGGCAGGATCGGGATACATTCTTCTCATGATGATCAGATGTGAATTGAATTCTGTCTATGTAAGGGACGCTGGACTTCAGAACTCGGAAGTGGGGGGAGCCAGGTATGAACAGGAAGGGTGCCAGAGGGTCCCCTTGACGGACCGATCGCTGCAACGGGAAGGGCGGCGCTATCCTTCCATTGATTTGAACGCACATGGTTGACCGGGTGGTAGCCAGATTTGAGGTCGATCTTGGAGAAGACTTTGCACCCACATGCTGCATCTAGCAGATCATCTATGTGAGGCAAGGGATAAACGTTTTTTTCGGGTGATACGGGTTAGGCCACGATAGTCAATACACATCCGAAGTTTGCCTCCTTTCTTCGATACAAACAGGACAGGTGCACCGAACTCAGACTCACTAGGCCTAATCCATCAACGATCAATCATGTCATCAATTTGTCTCCTCAACTCCTCCAACTCGCCTTGTCCCATACGGTAGACGCAATGCTTTGGAGGAACACTTCCTTCTATTATCTCGATCTTGTGTTTGACCAGACGCTCGAGAACTCCATGAGGTTCAGCCAGAACTTCAGGAAATCAATCTAATAGACAACGAATGTTTGTTGGGACTTCCGGTGGAGGATCATCCTCATCAGGAGAGAGAAAATCAGATTGAGAATTTACAACAATTACAACCAAATTCGAAGTACTTGGATCAGAAGTAGACTGATTTTTTATAGTAGAAGTAGATGGAACATAAGTAGTAGAAGTAGAATTACTTTCCGAGGTAGAAAATGCAGCAAACGTAGAAGGCACATGGAGAGGCTTTACAAGAGCTACATGCACATGCTCAGCTTCCTTGCGCCTGCGTACTGATTTGCAAAATTTGTTTGCACTCAA